CAGTTCCCTACACTGCTTAATGGCCACATGCCAGTGCCAATCCCCAGTCTGGACAGAGCTGCTTCTCCAGTACTGCTTTCTTCGAACTCTCAGAAATCCTGATGACATCTGGCCACAATTAAAGACTCATTAACTGATGAAACAAATTTGTCCCCATGGGCTAGTTTACCTGTGTCGTGAGAAGGACGTTGTGAAACCCGTCTGTTAATTTGGTTTGCACTTTTCATAACATGGATGGTCTAGATTTATGTTACCATTTTAAAAACTTTTTTATATTCAAGTATATATGAAAATCTGTTTTGCATTAAGTGAATTTTAATGTTTTTGTTTTTTATATCTTCTTAGCTCTTAAGTGTTGAACACTGTTGACAGTGAAGAACTTTTCTTAATGGTTTTCAATGTAACTAATAAGGATGTGAAGCTTTTTTTCCTCTTTAATTCTGCATATGCTCAACTGTGCTTATATACACTATAACCAGCTGTGCCTTCCTTTGCATTTAGTTTAATGTAAATGATTTATATATTTTTTAGTATTAAGAGAAATTGTTTGAAAGACAAAAATTAGTATCAAACAGCTCTCTAGTGGAATTTCATTACTTTTCACAAGTAGGCAATATGAAAGCAGATTCATATTATTACTTCTTTTTTGCTTTCAACTGTATGAGAATTGCCTTAGAACCTCTTCTGAACTGAAATTCAGTGAATATAATGTCCAAGTAATGTTTTTATAAGAAAAAACTAAGCCATATTTAGACAATAAACTTTCATAAAAGAAAATATTCTAAAGTGCATTTTTTGAGAAATGAACGTTGAAAGGCTAGCTTCCTGTTTACAATCTTTTAGACTCCTTCCAAACAAAAACCTGAGATGGAAAAGCTATAAAGTTCACTCTATACATGCCCCTGAAATATTTCCTAGTTTAGCACATTCTTGTTGAAAAAAATTAACCTGGTTCTCCCAGTTTTCCATAGAGAATCATACCTCTCTGATGCATTTACTGTATCATTATGTTAGGGTTTCTCTAAACCCCAGAAACTATAATTAACATTTAAAAATCCTATGCTTTGGAAGAGGTTCACAGACTGGTGATGAATACAAATAACAAAGAAACAATTTTGTAACACCAGGTGTCTTCATGTGTATAGGTATAGCCTTGCTTGTGGAAATTGAGAGGTGTAGGATACACTGCTTTATGTATTACTGTTTATGGTGGGAATGAAGGAAAACTGATAAAAGAAATATAAAATTCTTCAGGAACCTCATCATTGTGGAACTGAACTGATTATATAACAATTTGGAATACTCAGCAGTAAATTCTTCTGTGCAGCGTAGTTTAGAGCAGTGGTAATAGAAACATATTTTCTGTTCCTTCAAAACATCAGCAGGCACTAGTCTACAGCGCCATTCTGTCTATGAAGTAGTAGAGTTCTAATGTAAGATAAGAACTGGAAAGTGCCCAGTGCTTCCAATTCAAGACTAAGTTAATTATCATCCTTAACTATAACAGAAACCAGTTAGAAATGTGGCTAAATAATTCACTGATCCAAATGAGGCATTAAATGGCAGGGATTATGAGAAAGGGTAAAAAATAAAGGTTGCCGAAACAAATATTTCTTGAATTTTCAGGAAATCTAAAATTTTGTTTTGACACTTAAAAGCTTGAGATTATCAATTGGAATTGAGCATCTCTGTGTTTGGGGATGTATGCCCTTATCTGGGGAAAAAAATCCAAACACTCCAATATGCATCTTTGAATATAAAATAATGGGCCTGGTTCCAAAATCTCCAAATAGACACTACTGTCACTCCCTTATAGGCTAAGGATAATTCTGTACATTTAAAATAAAAGAGCTGGTCCAGAGGACTGGTATTCACCAAACATAAAATGTTAGAAGAGGCCTTTGAGAATGCATCCAACCACCATTTGCAGGTAAGGACAACTGCACAGGAGAAGTGGGAGTTGCCTGAGGCTACATAGTTCATTAAAGGTAGAACAATGATTGGTGCTCAGTCCAATTCTAGTTCCCCATGCCTAGCTATAGGTAACTACTGTTCCAAAACTGTATGTTAGGTAGAAAAAAACAAAAAAAGAGCATTAAAAAAAAAACCTGTTTTGTCAGATAAGAGCACACCTCAAATTCAAGATCCTTACAGAGAAACTAAGTCAATGTGCAAAAACCTCAACCAAAAATATTATTTTAAATGTAAATGTTGAATGTAAATCTGATTCTTGTACTCCCTTCCTCCAAATACTATGATTAACATACACTCTAACTCCACTTATTAGAAATGGAAAAATACAATAATTTTTGATGGATCAAAAAACTCACTATAACACAAACAGAAATGGAGGTATTGAAGTATAACACTTACAGCTCTGACTCATTCTGTGTGTTGGGTTGGTTGGTTTGTTTTTTTAAACAATTATTTTAGTCAGAAAATAGGTTTCAAAAAACATAAGAAATAACTTTGTTTTCCCCTTTTTATGTTTGCTTGATCAGTGTTAAAATGCTATGTATGGTAAAGTTTTATAGAACTATAACCTAAACGTTGGTCTCTTTGTACACATCTTTTCTATGACTGCAAATCTTCATTCAACTTTCATATATGTATCATTTTTACTGTTATTTTTGTTCAATAAATACTTTGTGATAAAAGGTGTGAAGAGGCAAGTGGATTGGTTTACTTCCATTTACTTGGGATGATCCAAATTCCACCATTCTATAGGGTATAAGTTGGAAAATGAATTGTTATTTAGCTAAATATTGCACATCGAGACACACTATGTATATATAAATCTTTTTTTAAACACAGATATTTAAGGAAACAAATATACTTATTGAGGTTGAGTTGGGTGGAAGGGAATGGATTTGAAAAGTGGTCCTGTGATCTCTTAAATGTGAAGTTCTGTCTGTCATTCTGTGCTGAGATAGGGAGGTAAGGAGAACGGGAAAAACGAAATTACCATTTATTCTTTTAGCTACAAATAATATCAAGAAATTAAAGCCATCCCACGTACATGGATTAGAGCACTTAATATTCTTAAGATCACAATACTACCGAGAGTGATCTACCAATCCAATGCAATTCCTATCACAATCCCAAAGAAACTTATTTTCCCCAGAAATAAAAAATCCCATCCTAAAATTTACATGGTATTTCAAGGAACCTTGAATATACAGAACATCTTGAAAAAGGAAAACAAAGGTGGAGGACTTAACACTTCTTGATTTCAAAACTTATAAAGCTACAATTAATTAAAACATTGTGGTACTGGCAGAAGGACAGAGATGTAGACTGAGAGAACAGAATTGAGAGCCCTGAAATAAACCCTCATACCTATGGTCAGCTGATGCCAAGACCATCCAGTGGGAAAAAGACAGTTCTTTCAACAAGTAGGGCTAGGAAAACCACATACTCATATGCAAAAGAATAAGGTTGGACATTCACTTTACACCACAGACAAAAATTAATTCAAAATGGATCAAGCCCCTAAATGTAAGCACTAAAACTATAAAATTCTTAAAATGGGGGAAAATATTCATGTTCTTGGATTTGGCAGTACCAACTTAAATATGCCACCAACACCAGAGGCAACAAAAGAAAAAATAAACTGGACTTCATTAAAATTAAAAACTTCTGTATATATCAATAGGACATCATCAAGAAAGTGAACACAACCCACAGAAGAAAATAATTACAACTCATATACCTCATAAGGGTCTAATCTAGAATATATAAAGAACTCCTACAACTCAACAAAAAGACATCCAAACAAATTTTAAAAAGGGCAAAGGACCTGAATAGACATTTCTCTAAAGCAGATATACAAATGGCCAGTAAACACATGAAAAGCTGCTTAACACCCAGTCATTAGGAAAATGCAAATCAAAACCACAATGAGACACCACTTCACAGCTATTAGAATGAATATAATGGGAGAAAATTTAAAAAGCAAGGATGAGGAGAAACTGGACCTCATATATTACTACTGAGAATGTAAAATGGTACGGTCACTGTAAAAAACAGTTTGGCGGTTCCTCAAAAAGTTAAATATAAAATTACTAACTAACCCAACAATTCCACTCCTAGGTATATAAAACCCAAAGAATTGAAAACAAGGGCTCAAACAGATGCTTGTATACCAGTGTTCATAGTGACATTATTTACAACAGCCAAAAATGGAAAAAACCAGTGTCTATCAACAGATGAGTGGATAAGCAAATGTTGTATAGTCGTACAACATTATTCAGGCATGAAAACAAATGAAGTTCTGACACATGCTACAACATGGATGAACCTTGAAAAAATTATGCAGGTGAAATAAGCCAGACACAAAAAAACAAGTGTGCTATGATTCCACTTACATGATATATCTAGAATAAGCAAATTCATAGAGACAAAATGTATTGGATTGGCCAAAAACTTCGTTCAGGTTTTTCCGTATAACATCTTACAGAAAAACCCAACCGAACTTTTTGGCCAATCCACAATATGAGAGGTTACCCAAGAGCTGGGGAAAGGGGAAAACGTGGGAGGGTGGGGGTTAAATCTTAATGGGTACAAAGTTTCTGTTTGGAGTGATGAAAAATTTTGGAGCTCGACTGTGGTAAATGCTTTACAACACTGTGAATGTAATAAATGCTACTGAACTGTATACTTACAAAGTGTAAAAACGGCAAATTTTATGTTATATGTATTTTACCACAATTTTAAAAAATAGTAAAAACAAAAACACACACACAAAAAACAACCACATGAACTGTCTTGGGTCAAAAAGATCGTTATAACATGTTAACAAGTACTCTTTCAAATGTAAGCTGATAAAACACCAAATAGAATGCAGCCACTTCTACATATAGAGTAACATATTCAGTGTGTTAACATCACTTGGAAGGAAAACAAAAAGGCATCCTGTCTTACCTTTAAGAACCTTGTCAGTTTAAGATGAATCACATGTTCAAGGTTCAATATTTCTGAGTTTCAATTCTCTTCACTGCAAAGTTTTCAGAATCTGAATGGTGCTCAAGTATCAAAAACAATCAAATTTCTTAGTAAAATGAAGAAACATCCCCAGCTTTTCCTAGGAAGAACAATTTTATGTAACTGCTGGATACAGTTCTTCACCTTTTGTATGCAAGAATCAAACAAATGGATAACTATGTCAAATTTGCAACAAATATATAACAAATGAAATGAAAAATCTGACAATGATACTTAAAAGTGCTATCCTATAAAATTACAGTAAAGATTATTAAATGAATGGCCAGCACAATTATAAATTAATTGCCATTGACACAGTGAGACTTCATCATCTTAAGGAGACCCATTAAGAGAAAATGATCCCAGAGGTCGGTTCAAGATGGCAGAGTAGGACGTGCGCTCACTCCCTCTTGTGAGAGCACCAGAATCACAACTAACTGCTGAACAAGCATCGACAGGAGGACACTGGAACTCACCAAAAAAGATACCCCACACCCAAAGACAAACGAGAAGCAGCAGTGAGATGGTAGGAGGGGTGCGATCGCAATAAAATCAAGTCCCATAACCACTGGGTGGGTGACTCACAAACTGGAGAACAATTACACCACAGAAGTCCACCCACTGGAGTGAAGTTTCTGAGCCCCATGTCAGGCTTCCCAACCTGGGGGTCTGGCAACGGGACGAGGAATTCCCAGAGAATCAGACTTTGAAGGCTAGCAGAATTTGATTGCAGGACTTCAACAGGACTGGGGGAAACAGAGACTCCACTCTTGGAGGGCACACACAAGGGAGTGT